ATTTGGGGAGGGGCAAGAATTTTGCTTGGTGCAAGGGGGTAAGAGAGGGTGAATTTTTTGCTTGGGGCAAGGAAGGAGTGGGATTATTGCCCGGGGCAATATTCCACTTTGGAATCTACAGTTTATACCATTATCCTAGTCTGTTTAGGCCATTCTATCTGTGTAAGAAGCTGTCTGTGTTTCTATCTCATCCTAATTCATATTTCAATATTTTCCTGTTTTTAATGTGTTTATGTGAGAAATAAAAGTATACATATATATATACAACTCCAATTCCTAAAAAGTTGGGACGCTGTGTAAAATCTACATAGAAACGGAATGCAATGATCTGCAAATCTCATAAACCCATATTTTATACACAATCCAAAATAGAAAACATATCAAATGTTTAAAATGAGAAAATTTACCATTCTAAGAAAAAAATAAGGCGATTTTAAAATAGATGACCGCAACACATCTCTAAAAAAAAGTTGAGACACCGCAATGTTTACCACGGTGTAGAATCCCCTCTTCTTTCAACAACACTCTGTAAACATCTGGGAACTGAGCAGATCAGTTGCTGGAGTTTTGGGAGAGGAATGTTGACCCATTCTTGCCTGATATAGGAATATAACTGTCCTGTGTCTTCTTTGTCGTATTGTTTGTTTCAAGATGTGCCAAATATTTTTAATTGGTAAAGGTCTGGACTGCAGGCAGGCCAGTTAAGCACCCGGACTCTTCCACTACAAAGCTATGCTGTTGTCATAGATGCAGTATATGGTTTAGCATTGTCCTGCTGAAATATGCAAGGCCTTCCCTGAAAAAGGCGTCATCTGGATAGGAGCATATGCTGCTCTAAAACCTGGATATATCTTTCAGCATTGATGATGCCTTTCAAGATGTGCAAGCTGCCCATTCCATACACACTAATGCACCCCATACCATCAGAGATGCAGGCTTTTGAAGTGAGAGCTGATAAGCCGGAAGGTCCCTCTCCTCTTTAGGCCAGAGAATGAGGCTCCCAAGGTTGGCAAAAAGAATGTCCAATTTCGATTAGTCTGACCACAGAACAGTTTTCCACTTTGTGACAGATCATTTTAAATTGGCTTCGACCCAGCGAAAACGGCGGCATTTCTGGATCATGTTCAGATATGGCTTCTTCTTTGTATGATGGGGCTTTAACTTGCATTTTTGAATGACACGGCTAACTGTGTTCACAGGCAGTGATTTTTGGAAGAATTCCTGAGCCCATGCAGTGATGTCCATCACAGAATCATGCCTGTTTTTTAAATATTATTATACAGGATTTATATAGCGCCAACAGTTTGCGCAGCGCTTTACAATATAGGGAAGACATAATTACAAAACAATTAAAGACAAGATGCTAAGGAGGGCCCTGTCCGTGAGGGCTTACAATCTAAGAGGGCCCGGGCATATATTGTGTTTCGGCCTAGTCCCTTGCACACTGAGATTTCTACAGATTCTCTGAATCTTTTGATGATATTATGTATTGTAGATTATGATATAGTTTAAAGTCTTTGCAATATTGAGGAACATTATTCTGAAGATTGCTCAACAATGTTTAGATGCAGCTTTTCACAAATTGGGGACCCTCCGCCCATCTTTACTTCTGAGACACTCTGACTCTTTAAGATGCTCTTTTTATACCCAGTCATGTTACTGACCTGTTGCCGATTAACCTAATTAGTTGTAAAAGGTGCTTCCAGCTCTTCCTTGTTAGTGTCACTTACTTTGCCAGCTTTTTTGTTGCTCTGTCCCAAGGTTTTTGAGATGCGTTGCCATCAATTTTAAAATGTACGTTATTTTTTTTATAAAATGGAAAATTTTCTTAGTTTAAACATTTCATGTGTTTTCTATTGTTAATAAAACCTGAGTTTATGAGATTTGCAAATCATTGCATTCTGTTTTTATGTAGATTTTACACAACATCCTAACTTTTTGGAATTGGGTTTTTACACTGTATGCAAGTTATACAGGAAGACTGCAAATAGGAAGGGTTAAATGACATTTTATATCCAAATTACACCAAATGCTGTAATTCTTAGTTTAGGATTCCAAAAACCCTTAAAGCAACCATTGGCATTAATAATCTTAACTGTAAATGCCTGATCAGTCTTTGACTGGAAGGTAGAATACTATGTAGTAGGTGGGATAGCAGTGTTCTTTAACCAGTTGACATCCGCGGTGTTAAACCCCCTTCCCATCCAGGCCATTTTTTCAGTATTCAGCGCTGCGGTACTTTAACTGACATTTATTCCGTCATGCAGCGCTGTACTGAAATGAATTTTATACCCTTTTTTGGGGACAGATAGAGCTTTCTTTTGGTGGTATTTATTCACCACTGGGGGTTTTATTTTTTTACTATATTAAGGAAAAATTACCGAAATTTTTTTTTAAAAAAACAGTTTCCCCTATATTTAATGATAAAACATTTATTATTACCCAATTTTTTGGTAAAATATAAAAGATGGGGTCACGTCGGGTAAAAAGACACTAAACATGTCAAGCCTTAAAATTGCGTGCGCGC